TCTGATCAGGTTGTTTTGGACTAACTGCAGTTACTCGTGCCCGTTAATTTACGAGCATGTCAACACTGGTGCTTGATTTAGGCGGTAGCTCCTTGAAAGCCGGATTCTCAGATCAAACTTCCCCGAGGTTCGTTTTGGTACAGAGTGCTGTATACTTTTTTAGTGTGATAGATAACTGTATATTCAAATCGAAGACTCTCTCTGGTCGCACATTCATTGGAAATGATATCGAAAAATGCAACAATCTGTCGAGCTTATATTGCATAATGCCGTTCAAGAAGGTGAGCCATTATCTGTTGGATAACTTGCAGTTTGTAACGGCAATCATCATTATTTCGCTTGTCATCACAACGGTTATTTTTTTATTACATACAAATTTACATGCGGCATTAAGCGTAGACCTCTTTCTTTTGGAAAGAAAAGGATTGATTTTGTGGGTACCGAGGCAGCATCGTTGCCTTCGTCGAGTTCCTTAGATATCCTTTGATAACACCGTCTTCACTTTAAACATTTTTGGTTGAAACGTGAAAACGACTGTCAGTGAAAACCGTTTGTATTTGTATAACTTTTGCAAGCTGAGATGTGCTTACATTTCTGTTAAAAATTGTACACTGGTCGTCACACTGGAGAAAATATAGAAGTATAAACAAATTCAATAGACTGCTGTGTAAAAAAATTAAATATCTCTAAAGTTTGATTCATCCAATTAAAGATTGACGTAATTCATTTATATTTCGTTCCTTGTTGGTCAAGATGCGAGCGAGATACGGTACACTGGAGTTTTTATAAATGTTCATTCGGGAGGGTAGGTACCGATAAGAGGAACGAGTGATCGAGTGGGAGCGACAAGAAGATGAGTCAAAATGCAAAGGATGGGTGGGGTCGTTTAGAATCGTATTGGCAAAGGTCGTGCAGGGCTTCATGTGACCATTGATAAGTTCTGTGGTTAATGAATCGGTAGAAATTAAAGACACACGGCTTATTATCATTAATCCACGACGGACAGTTTTAAAGTCTTGTTCCAATAGACCGGAAAACACTACAGGGGAACAGTAAAGTAAAATAGAGAGAACGCATTTTTCAACCTAAATTTTCGTCTTTTTCCTAACCTCTCATCCCCCTCCCCCTAAAACGATTTGTACGCTATTTACATTTCACATTTCGTACCTGTTGCGATTTACCACACCATTTAGACCTTTCTCTTCCCAACCTTACCACAAAATCAAAATTACCACAATTGTTTATTCATTTACAAATACGTACAAAACGTTGTTGATATCGATTCAAAATGAGCTTAAACAAAGCATGCAATGATTGATCGTTCGTCATCATCATACGCAAGCCAGTCCTGTAAAGAAAATGGTTTAAGATACCACTTAGTCCGTCCTTCAGTGTTTAGTCTACGATGAACAGGGATAGCGAAATAGGGCACTCTTGACGAACACCGCTCCTGGTTTCGGAACTGCTTAGTCCACCGTATGCCTTTACGCTACCAGAAGCCGGTACAGTCATCTCCATAGGTCTGTATACTTCTGCTGTATTTATTTTCGGAGATAGGCTTAGTCTGCCAGTGAACATCAGATCCTCGTGACTATGGGATTCGCCCCGTCTGCTGTTCACCACACTTAGGTGTGTAATTAGAAAAATGCTTAGAACTAATGAGAACAAACCCAACAGGTCCTGTTGCGTTCCTTTTCTTTAGCGATTGAATGCAGTTTCGTAGTTCTAGTTATACTATTGGCTCACATGTCACCGCCCACGGATCTTCCACTGAAATCGCCCGAATAAGCGCACCAGCACTACTGTTCGCTAAAATACTCTGTCCATCGATAAAGTCGTTCTTCGCTGCGGATACTCCGTCCACTTTTATCGCTACTAGTTTGGCAGACCGATATGCGACTAACTCCGCCTCTGCGTATCAGGTGAAACAGTCTATGAATATTCCCTGATGCAGAAGCTACTTCCATTGCACTGGCTATTTTAGCCCATCAGTTTTCGCGATCTTTTTAAGGTTTTTCCTGAGCTGACGTTGCTGACGCTACCGGTTCCTATATTGATCCTGGCAGATTGGGATCTTTTGCCTTTGTTCCACCAGGACTTATGACTCCTGTGTGTTCGATGAACTTCCGACTAAACCCCACAAACTAATTTTGTTGCCGAATGCATCACACATCTAATTTGATCCCACAGTGGAACTACTTTGCCACATCGCGATGCCTCGGGCTCCTGTCCAAGCTTCTCCTCATAACTGATGAAGCAATTTTTGCCGATAGCCGATGAGTCGAGGCTTGAAGCACAATCAGACTCAACGCGGGTGGTCCAATAGGATCTGCAATTTTTTGATGAGCCACGCCAACGGTAGTTTACTGCTAGATGATCAATTTGTGTCAACCTGTCAGTTGAACTAGAACATCATGTTACCTTGCGACGAGAGTTGTGTCGGAAGTTGGTGCTAGATAATAATAACCAATGATCTGCGCGAAACTGAAGTAGTCTATCACCACTGTCCGTTCGTTGGGCGGACAGAGCGAAGCGCTTCCTAGAGAAGCTTCGGATGCGCTCAGTTTTCCAACCTGTGCGTTAAAATCATCTGCCAGCACAATAATATCAGAGCTGTGGTCCAACCGAATGAGTTCTATGAGTTTGTCGTAAAATTCGTCCTTTTGTGAATTGCAATTACTGTTGGTTGGCGCATAAGCTGAAATGATTACCAAACACTATTTGGTGTTGCCTCCTTTCCGAACATTAACTGAGCCCTGGAATCCCTTGTTTCACTGAATTCTCCATTTTCTCTTCGACTCTACTCTCAACATTTCTATCTTTCTCCTGCTGCTTCATCCGAAGGGGCAGCCAAAAGACAGCAATCAAAACCGGCGCAGGAAATATATTGTCGAAATAGGCCCACAGAGCACATTTCAAACAAAACAACACAGTTGCGAACAAGCTCGTTTTCAAGGGTTCGCATTCATGTCAATCCATGTCAAATCCGTGAACAACAGGCATAATTCCGACCAGGTCGCGGTTGTGTCGACTTAATCTTCACTCTGCGTCAAGTCCTCGATCTACGTCATACACACCGTCGATCAACGGTAGAAGACATTCGTCCCCAAGTGTTATTTTGACAATCACTGCTTACTTAGTCTAGCTGAGATAGGAGGGAGTGAACGGGTTAGTAACCTTGAGGTAAATCGTCGGGTGATTTGGAATGTATCGAACACGAACTTGCTGGCGCATCGAATTGGTTGGGACACATTTTGTGTATGCCCCACGGTTGTCTACCACACCGTGTTTTATTTGCAATGGCCGCTCCGGACTGGAGTAAGCCATGTGGAGGCCATCAGATAATGTGAAACCGAGGCCTAAAGAAATGCACAGAACAATTAGGTAGAGCAAGCGTCTTTCCTCTCCCGGGTTGGGGTTCAAATGACTCCGTAACTCCATGGCTGGAGATGCTATCGATCATGTCAGCAAACCAACAGCAGTCGCGTTCTTGTCATTTCTTATCAGATCGGAATACTTGAAATAGTATATATCCACAGTTAGACTGTGTATTCTGAGTATTGTCCGTAGATGTTCTCTCTCCCTGTCCCTCAAAGTAGGCCCAATCCTTATCCTCCTTATATATTTTTACTTACCTTATATGCATTATTAGTTTGTCAGTGACCAGTGAAGTTCTCTTCACTGTGTTACGCTGTAGGATGTTATAATGTAGGGTTTTTTCGAAGCATATAAATATGACGCGTTATGCGCATCTGAGAAAATTGTACAGTAACCTCTTTTTACAGTCCTTTAACTTCACTTTTTATTTGATAAACAATGATACGGTTACTTGTCATGAAGTAGAAGGCGCCCGACAGAAGGGGTGTCAAGGGATCTAACGAAACAGAATTTAGACGGCGAAGATTACTGGGTTCGAACACAATCTCCTTGGCAATGTGTTGTTAACTTGCGTCACTTGAACACCGTCCCCTCGCGCTTTGGGTACACTGTTGATCAATATGCATTCAGTTTTTGCACGATAACGTCAGCGTTTTTACAGTTTACCGTTTTCGATTAATTCAACCCTTAGCAACGTATTTCTAAAGTTTCCTTCCGATTTTGCTTTGCTCCCCAGTCTTATCAATATTCCAATCTGTGGTGGTTTCGCAGTAGTTAGGTTGTAGCCCCTATCGTGAACTCAACTAGACCGTCGAACCCAATGGTACTTATCAGCCTTAAAATTTTCTCAACTCTATCGTTCACGTGCAAAGCAAAGGTGGTCTCTACTTCTTTGGGGTGTCGTATACTGCCTCATCGTTTTCGCTCTGTGGAGAGATGTTAATTCTTTTCAAAGGAGTTCTGCGCCCTCGCACGGAGTTCCGATCCCCAGTGTAATCAGCTGATTTTTCCCCTATGCAAAACTATTGTCTTCCTTCTCCCGTTCATAGCGGTGGTTTGTGATAAAAAGTAATCGTTGTTTGAGAGTTCTGAAGGAATTGTGATTCCTCTGGGCATCCTTCGCCCTTTCTCACATGCGTCTGGCTAATTCTTGTAACACTAGGCCTAACCCAAGTAGTTTGGTATTAACGTGGAGGACTCAACCATACCCATCTCACCAGAGAGTCACATTTGATTCAGCGCCACAGAATTCCGGATCCCCGAAATTTGACGAGATGTCTTCGTCAGTTCATTCCCCTCCCACTGAACTGTTCTCTTTGGAATATGTATTCTCACTGACTTCTTGCTTGCTAACTTGGATAAGGTCTATCCCATAAAGCATGCTCGCAACGGAAAAATCACTTATCTGTTTTATTTATATTATTCGGCCTTCGAATATCGCTTTACCTATCCTTATTATATTGCAAGCTGTTTGTGCTGTCTGGTATCGGGTAAAATTTTCCGCTGGTAATCTTGTTCCGTATTTTGGAATTGTGACCTGTTGTCTAGGGCTACTTGAACAACTGGGATATTCAAACGCAGATCTTGGACACAGCCATAAAAAAGATCTTCAAGCAGGTTTGATGAATGCTCGCTTTGGATACTTTATTTGTTCCGTTCAGAAGAACTTCAAACCGTCCGATTGTAATCTGGTTTGCACGGAGCCTTATTTCAATTTTTCATCTACTAAAGAGACTATGAATGAAATATTCTTTGAGGAGTATCAGTTTGCCGCGGTCATGCGAACCAATCGTGAGTTTTCGGTCCCACTCGTCTGAACGTTTCTTACAGCTTCGTTCCTTTCCGCCTACAAGTATCAAGCGGAGTCGGCACAACGTTTATCGCGCTATTGTTTGGTTATCGATTCCGGCTACTCTTTTACGCATATTGTCCCAATGGGTGATGGTCGGGTGATGGGTGAATTCGTTCTCAGGTATATATGAACCTCATCCGATTGATCCGTTCTACTGCATAAGGTTAACCGTTGGCGGAAAGATTCTTACCAATCGCCTGGTCGAGACCGTCTCTTACAGGTTTGCACTTGCTTTACTCTTGTCTATCTCCCGCCATTTGCAGACACCTGGACGTTCGAAGTGAAGTGTACATAATNGTACATAATGAATCAATGCAAAGAAGATGTGTGTTATGTTTCGACGGATTTCTGGAAGGATCTAGAATTGGCTAGGTAATTTTAATTTCCGGTGACCATTTACGCGCTCTGTGTCTCGAATTCGTATTCCGTATTCTCTATGATTTTATCAGTAGACACTAAACAGGGCTCCATTTGGTAGTCCCAGAGGTTAGGAAAGCTTTGAACCTGGTGTAGTGATTTCACAGTGGACTCAGACGGAACCTTGTCCTTTAAGAGACCAATCATTTCTTATCATATTTTAGATGCTATTCTCAACATCATCGTACAGCGAAATACAAGGAAGCGAACTTCACTAATTGCTGCTGATTTAGTAATGCATTGGGTTTTGATGGACGGGTACTGCTAGGGTGTCCAGCCATTAAGCAGGAGAACGATTAGGATTTTCAACCAAAGTCTTCAGTTCTGACAAGAACCTAGCGGCAAGGCAATGGGTGAAACGAAGTGGAGGCCCATTTACTTGGATCGGTTGTTCCACCATTTTTTACCGACTGATTGCAAATTATAGTCGAAGCCCCAGTCTGGATGACCAGGAGACTGTACTTCATCCGACCTCTACCCTTCGACCTTCCAGGTATGATTAGATCTTCGGCTTGACAAAAGCCATCCTGTGTAGCTCGTTTGGTCACAGAGGTGCACAAGCCATCACATCACGTCAAGGTACAGTCTCCTAAGCTGGATTCACGGTGACGGGGTTGCTTGAACTACATATGACCGTTGTCAGTTTACCTACTTACAGTCAACAGCAACAAAATAGCCGAGCGAGGAAGCAAGGTTATTGAATGTTTAAACTTGACCGAACCCACGATTGGGCTGTTAAGGCTTCCGTTGCTGTCCCACTGCAAAGTCAATCTTAAGCGATTCGCCGTGACTCTGGAACTGAATGCAGAAACATGCCGGGCTATTGCAAGAAACGTGAAATGACCCGACGATTTTTTTTATTGAAAACTATGTCCAAATCTTTTGCTCTATGATAGATGCATTTCCCGAATCCTCTTGAAGACAACTGAAAGTGAAAATTGGGAACCACATATCCTCGTAAGTCAATTAACATATCATCGGTTGGTCGTCTGTTAGACGAACACGGCTAGATAGGGAAGAAGCTAATTGTACAACCGACCTGATCCAATAGGTAAACGCGCTGTAGCTCAACACAGTAGGTGTACCAAAATTACGGTGGTACGTTGATAAAACTCGTTTTACTATTGGATGCTCTTATTCAGGCGGACAATCAAACGTGATAGCCGTGTGTTCGACTGATTCATTCGCATAAAGTAGCTAATCTTGCTATTTTGATGTGTATTTCATTTTGTAGAATCCTGGCTAACGGATGGCATGCACAATTGAATTAGCCTCACCTCTGTAACTTTATGAAAAAATGTAGCCCCGGCTAAATATTGAATGTCTTTGTTTTCTACGATTCGCCAATATTTGGCCGAACTAATGCGACTAACTTTATGTCGGAACATTGGATTCGGTACCTGCTGTTGTCCAACAGGCTATCAATCAATGATCTTTTGATTGGTTTACCAGATATTTCATTCTCCATTTTTCACTTTCAGTGGTCCTCAAGAAGATTTAAGAAATGCATCCATCATAGAGCAGAAGACTTAGACATAATCTTCCTTAAACTTTCGCCGGGTCATTTGACGTTTCTTTCAATAGCCCGTGTTTTTATTTGTACTCTCCTAAATGTGCGTATTGAATGGACAGCTGGAGAAAAGCTGAGCGATTTAGAGTGCACTGACCACATCGTTTGCCTGTTCCAATGTATGGACGATGCGCAAAGTGCTCTTGACAAACTTTCAAGTTCTGCAACTCGTTTCGTCGCCTAGAAGTCTTCGACTGCCCATGTTTACCAGTTAAATATATAATATATGTTTACATACCTTGGCGCGGGTTGGGTGGAGCGAGCATGTGAGCAACTCTGAAGTGATTCGTCGCGTATTTGGTAATGATTCGATGGAGAATTCGTTATCTCATCGAATTCAAGTTAACCGGCTTCGCTGGTCGGGCCACTTATTGCACATGCCCAGTCGTCGTCTACTGCACCGCGCCTTATTCGCAGTTGGGGCTTTAGGTTGGAAGAAACCGCGTTGAGGTCAACAGATGGCGTGGAAACAAAGCATAAAGCGATTATGTAGAATCGGTTGCCTCCCGTCTTCCAGGTTGGGGTCCGAAAGACTGTAACTGGTTGGTTGTAGACATTGAAGGATATAGCGATTAACCGATAACAATGGCGTTATTGTCATCTCTTATCAAATCAATGCTTGAACGGTATGTATACAGAGTTTGATTGTGCATTCTGTGTGTTGGCCACAGAGATTCACTTTTGCCTCCCTCCAATTAGGCCCAATCCCTCTCCATCTTGTGTTTTATCACTTGATTTGTGCGCATTGTGAGTTTGACAGCGATCAAGCGATGAAGTTTGCCTCCCTGTATCTTTCTGTACAATGATGATGATGAATCTCCGAGTTGAGGTCACTCACTAAAGATCACATTGCACAGTGCGTTACCTGTCTTAGCTTGATGTTGTATAGTTAAATCTCAACTTATTTCAACCAGTCACTCGTACTGGGGCGTCGTTTACCGAATTCTCCATAATGCAGTTTGTCAAATGATGGATTACCGTGATGGCACTTGGTGACAAATCTACCATGGTCTTTTCTTCCTTTTCATTTTACTTCCTTTTATTGAATATACAAAGATACATATTTCAGGAAGGGGGAAGCGACCAATTAAAAGGGATGCTATTCAACTCACAACGGGGAAAGTCAGGCGGTGGTGCTGGGACCACATCCCCAGGGTGATAATTTGGTGATCTTACCACCGGGCCTCCACCGTCTCCCTAAATGTCAATCCAGCACTAAATAATGCTATTCATATGCTCCGTAATCCACCCGACCACGTAACAGCCCCGATCAATCACTAATTAAGGCTTGTTTTACCGTTCGAAGTATCACGTCGCTGCTAGCCCCTGGGAGCTCGAAGTAACGCTACATAACATTGATAATCCCCTCGCTGAATGCTGCTCAAGCGTAAACAAACACCGATGCATTGAGTCAATTTTAAATTGATACTTGTTGTTTTCCGTGGTGTTTGTGACCGTTTTCAACGTGCCTGGATCGTTTCCCATCGTCACTCGTTCAGTCATTTTCAACCACCCTTTCAAGCCGGATAAAAAGATAACTTGGCTCTTTGAACGTCCGTTTGTGCTAACCAGTAAAAGAAAGCATGCTCAAATGCTGAATAGTCACTGTAGTTGAACCCAATATATTGCTCATCCTGTGAGTCCGTTTTTTTTTCACGAAATAATGAACAATAATCGTATATTTGATCTTGTTTAATTCGGCGCGTTACCGTGCGATCCAGCGGTGCTGCCCTCTCTTTGCGATTTTACCGGGTATCCTAATTTTAATACTCCTTCTGTCGACTGTATCCTCATTGTTCCACCACATGGGTACACCGAAACACTGCAGTTTCAGTTTTTATAATCATTAACCGTGCACTTTTGTGCACTAGTTTTGGTTGCTCAAACCAAAACCAGTGCATAAAAAAACAAGGTTGTACAAACAAACCGTATACGTAGGCCAATATCGTGCTTAGATGCGGTTTCCTAGTGAACAATTATCTATTGATGTCCGGGGTTTAGCATTTGACCCTCCTATTACCTAATACATCACTTGTCTAAAGCTTCATGATCATCTTGGGATTCAAATATCCAATCGCAGAAAACTACACAAAGTAGCACATCTACTCCCCCCCCCCTCAGATAAATGAGTGTGATCCTTCACCGCACTGTAAGGGTCATTCTTCCATCGTTTTTTATTATACATTTGTGTGGTAAATAGCAGAAGGGGCTAACCCCATAGTCACCAGGACCTGCTGCTCCGTCATGGAAACCAATAACCTAAACCCCGGGACTTGGAGTGGCGAACCCATAAGGCCCCGCTAGGTTGGACGTGGTATTGAACCGGACAATAGCAAAGTTGGGTGGCGGTGATGGGGCTCGAACCATGAGGTTCAAAGCACGCCAGTGACAGCTACTAAACCACTGCTCCACAATCACCCTTTTTGTCACTAATCACTCATTAAAATTTGACCCCGGCTGTCGATTTTAGTGATAGAAAACGGCTTGTATATTCGAATTGAGTGACGCTTCCCTGATATAGCAGAATCATGTACTCCGGTCAGCTTGTCCTCGGGGACGTGATGTGTGACGAGTCAGATTTGTGTGGGTAACAATGCCTCATAGCTTTTTGTTGCATATCGATGGTTTGTCATGTAAAAAACACCCCCAGTTCTCATACGTGCAGTATTAGTTAAGGCAATAACTGTTTTTGTCGGCGAAATGCATGAACTATGGCATACATAAGCCTGGATGATTTTCCACAGCATTACACATGCCCTTTTTGACAGCCCTGTGAAGACAGTCCAGCCCTTCATTCGATGATGAACTATTGCACATATTTTAATCTCTACATTTCAGTTCATTTTCTGCCTCTGCTCCTCTCTGTTTTCCCGTATCCTAACTATGGCGTACTTAGGTCCGATCCTCGAAAGAACCCAGTGCTTCGTGAGTATGTCCTTCCCGACTATGCTGAAGTACACCGGGGTTACGTACGCGATCCCAGCACCGAGCCGCCCTCGCAGACCAGTTCAAATCGATTGCGCGCGGTTCAGCAGGGCTATGTGCTCCGGTTGAACAATGAACGTTTCACAATTCCAGAATTACTTTTCCACCCGGGAGATGTGGGATACACGGAGATGGGGTTAACGGAAGCTTTAGGCTATTTGCTCTGTGAGCGGCTCCCCCCAGCCGTTCGTCCGGGTGCTTGGGCCAACTGTTTGGTTACGGGTGGCAATGCTTGTTTTCCAGGATTTGTGGAACGATTGTGAGTTCGGTAGCATATGTTCAGTGTCCGCTTCATGTTCATTGTATGGCGTGTGTTTACCACATCACACAGGAGAAAGCAATGATCACGATGGCGAGGACTTTTTCCATCTTTGTTTTCCTTTTTCAAACTAAGTGGCGCAAAAATATATATGCTTGCGACTTTTCCACATTAGATGTATGCATAATCAATCAGTTCAGTGCCAGACGAATGGCATCAGCTTAAAACTGAATGTGTCATAGTTTCTGTCAGGGTAGGCCTAACTTTCCTCTGAGAATTCTCACGGTATGAAGTTGACACGGATTGAGAACAATCGCCACCGTCGGACGGTGCCGGTATTTCCTCGATGTTACTAGAGCCAACCTAACGGACAGAATACGCCCATCTTATTTGTTCATTCTGTCACTCGGCGCTCTGGTAGTTCCCATCCCGGAAAAACGTAGACTGCGCAATCCATCACACTAGTGTTTTGTAATATCAGTAGCACACTCTGTACGAATGCGACCGAAGAACCTCGAGTGGTCTTCGCCAGCAGTATGTGAATCTGTAAGTGATCAGAATCAATATGAACTGCAATACATAACTTCTGTTTAAAGACGTTGCATGAATCGCCAGCTTTTCTGGATAACACTATTCTCTGAGTCAACGCACTGTTTGCAGATATCTTTTGACTGGAATTGTTGGGGAAATGTCTCGCGGGTTATGATTCGGTGATTGTCTGGCAGACCCAACCGTTTCTATCAGGCTTGATTTTTTTTATTAAACAGGCGAATAGTTGTGAGCGAGCGAGGCAGAGAACATGTATACAGGGGGAGGGAAATAAATCCTGTACTCGGTTTGCACTGTTATAGCGCAGTTTGTGATTTTACTATCCTCAGGAGTAGGCTTTTGTGCGCGCTAAAATATCCTTAATTGTTGTGCTGGTTGGAGCTCATCGATTAGGATATTAGAAATCCTCAAGTACTCGCCTCTCCGGCAGATAGAGCTGACTAACTCAGACTGTAGAGATGATACTTGGGTGTAGTTTCACTTTGCACATTCCACATTTACAGTCACACTCATGATGGCACGGAACAGATAAGCGAGTTTTAATCAGCAGTCTATCTGTGCGACAAGGAGAAATTGTCAGACGTGTGCAAACCGCATTCGGCTCATAGCACGCACGTTTGTGACCCACACTAAAGTTACAGTACTCTAATCATTCACCAACCAAAATTGATGACAGTCTCGCACTTTGATTGATTTCAAACGTACAAGAAATACACGATTCCTGTTGAGGCAAGTGAGCTTGTGCTTTTGCAGATAGACATCACACGGGCTTTCAAGACTACAATAATGAGATAACGTCTTATCTATGTTTGAAAGTGCCAGAATCAGAATTGTTTTCTGCACACATACACACTCCGAGGTTATTTGGTTTGGTATTCTGTGAGAATACTTCGTTCAGCGTGTCGGGGTTTTCAAACCGTCTAGATCGCCAACATTAGTATTCCTCGAGTCATCATATCCGGGATTCAAACTCCGTTCTCACAAACTAGTTTGGCTGGTAGGTAGGTAGCTGAACTGTTGTCCAGTTTGTTAATACCTCTGTTTCAGTGGGACATTATACGATACGCCTTTCCAGGTCGCCAGGCTTGGTTGCCAGTTCAAACAACGGAATATATTTCAAGACGTAACCGTTTACAGAGAACTAGCAAATGTGCGACAAGATTTGAACAAAAAAAGTCTAGAATATCAATCATTTCTATAGATTTTATCTTTTTTATACTTGAAGCCTCTTAAATGACTGGGAATAGCGTGATGTGTAGTAGAAAGTCGGCAAGTCATAACCAGCACTGCTGTTTGCGAGGTGATTGGAGTGTGTAATCCCTTTTTCGTCCTCCTAAAGCTTCAGGTTATTCTCTAACTCAGATTCTGGGTCTTTATTGACCAGTTCCGGCTGTGCGCCACCGGAACTGTCATTAATAGATCAGTACTAGTTTGTGTTTTCAGCTGCCATGCCAGGGCGCCACATTTGACAATTGTATTTTGTCACAATATGTGGCTCTACCCTATGGCCTTGTCAGTTGGATTAAAAACGTCTTGGTCAATTGCAGCGCTTGTCGGCGGTTCATGTTGAACTCGTGTTTCATAAAGATACAAAGTTTATACGTATATATATATACCTACATTTCTATGTGCACGCTGACTGACAGATAGAACTTGACAAGTAATATCAAATATGATCGATTGATCAAATTAAAGTAATGTGTACGACCTAAGCCTATTGGCCAAGACTCACCCACTAGTATCATGCTGTTTTCTCGCACTCTTAGTGTAGACTCGAGTGAGATGCGGGACTACAGGGTTCTCATAGACGCTTAAACGAAGGGGAATCTGTCAAAGCTTGATACTCATGGACGAATGAGCATAACAGTCAGATAGATCATCATCAAGGGGCATATAGTGTCCTCGGGAATCTCTTTAATGTATTTTAGCCAGGTCGTTACTAGTCAGTGAGTGAGTTTCACGGTCGAAATCTTAAAAATATCGCTTATTGATAATCGACCGCTCAGATTTTTCCATTTATGTTTTGATCATGGATATCTCAGTTTCACTACTGCAAATAGAATCAGCAGTTAAAAATTACAGGTTGCTGTCATTCGATTACTGTGCAGCTAAAACTCGACCCTGGCGTACAAGCACATAAGCATCCTCCGATTCATGCACGTTCGTGTGTATCTATACCCTGATTACGGATAACTGTGAAATGTTCCAGGGACAATCAAGTGAACCCAGTTAGACAGTACTATAGACATAGATAAGGATTACAGAACACAACACACTGGTTCCCCTAGGGAGTGGAATCACAACAATCCATCTGTTATCGTATTGCAGTCAAGGTATACTCACGCACAAACACACCTAACTACTGGCCAACGAAATGACCTATAAGATCATATGATGCTAATTGGTTGCTCCTACTACTACAGGACGGTGACCCCACATCAGACAGGTTACCCAACTGAGGTCATTTGCCGTCGTCATGGCCATACCGCCACCGATAATGAAACAGTTGAACCCACCACCAGGTGGTTCACCAGATCGAAAACACACTGTAACTTGCTTTTCACCACCAACAAAAAGTCAAAACACAAAACGGTCAATTTTCCTCATCAGATGCACAGACGGATCCGGAGAAAGTGGGGCCTTTTGACGCAGTTTTGCAGGATAACTGCACATGAATCACAGCTGAACTTTCTACCCAACAGTGCGGTTCCGATCTGGTAAAACCCGCAAAGTACTTTTGTTTGTTTATAGAGAAATCGGCTTATTTCGAGTGAACGGGCTTTGTGATGAGCTTAACC